TTTTATTTCTTAGTAAAGCAAAAAAAAAAAACATTGATGATGTCATGTTGCCATTTTTGCAGTAATCAAATGCCCAAAAAACAAAAAAAAAAACAAAAACAAATGAACAAAACTAATTAAAAATGACAAAGACTTTAAACAGTCAACAACTTCGTTTTAAAATATTCATAGCCAGTAAATTCTTGCATAAAATCTATTCATTTTGTAGCTATAATATTGGTTTAGAAAGACAAACAATAGACACAGGCAATTGGATAGCATCAATGAACAACATTATATATAAAAGAATGGAAAACCAATAGTTTACCTATCAAAACTTATAACTGCAAGAATTAAAATTGATGCAGTACTGCATGCAACATCAGATGCTGAATATATATTGCACATTAAATCGCCTAAAAACCACATACCACCTGAGATCTAAAAAAAAAAAAAAACAAAAACAAAAACAAAAAAAACGAAGATTAATTATCTGTTAAAGTGTAATAAATAATTAATTTACAACTCGTCTTCTCTTTTCTTTTGATTTCCATTTTTTTTTTTCTTAATTTTTTGACATTTAACAACAGTAATCAATTTATTCTTAAACAAAATAATGCAAAAACAGAAGAAAAAAAAAAAAGAAAATGTATTCTTATTGAATATTATAATTCAAGAAATCAGCTTTTACCTCAATATACACCGCATAAGGCATAACAAAAACTGCAACAAATAGATCAGCAAATGCTAAACCAAATATCAGAAAATTAACTGCTGTTTGTAGAGATTTAAATCTGAGAACAGATAGAATAACAAGTATGTTGCCAAGAATTGTTGTTATTGGTATCAATCCCAAAAACAGCTTAAACCAATGCATCTGCAGTTGATCACCTGCAGATGCATCAGCAGAAGCGGCAGCAGGATCGGCGACAATCATATCGTCATCTACGCCATCTGTCATCATCTACCAATACATATCAGCACAACTCCTATAAAAAAAAAATATAAAACTTAATTTTTTCTTCCTATTTTACATTTTTTTTTTTTTTTTTGCTTCAAATTCTACTCTCAATATACCTTATCAAATATATGATGTTTTTCTTTTTCCTTTTTATTTTATTTTTAAAGCTCTCGTCACCTTTTTTTTACTCAATTTTTTCCCACTTTACGACAATAAAAAAAAAAAAACGCACATTGATCTACTTTTTTTTTTTTTTGGTTATAAATGATTTAGTGTAAAAGTATATTGCAACTTAACAACAATTGCCGTCATCAATTTTTTTTTTTTTTGTTTTTTTTAACTTATTTTTTTCCATACGTTTCCTTCTCTCGTAATCTTGCTAAATGACAAATTAAACGTAGTATTAAACCACAAAAAAAAAGTAAATATATAAATTTATTAATTAATTAAAATTCTTTCACAAAATTATAAGAATCAACAAAGTGTCGTATGAACAACAAACTCCTCAAGTATTTATTGATTTAACAACAAATCTCAATGTTTTCAAGAATAATTCTATTTGTTGCCATATTTTCACTAACTTTTGCATCACGAAAATTTATCATTTATCAACCATTTATCAGCTGCTGTTAATTGTAAAAAAAGCAGAAGAATAGAAAAATCAGCAAAGATTTAAATGATAAGAAGACGAAGGTCAGCCTAAAGATAATTCAATTTGCTGTACCAGTGAATACTATTCCTAGTCAAACTGATCGTAGTGACAGTATACATTGCCAGTCTTTTGCACTAAACATTAAACAATAAATCAGTGCTTAAACTAACATAAGAATGCTTGAAACCTCTAAGTGTTCCAGTAAATAAAAAAAAAAAAGAAAAAAAAAGAAAAAAAAGAAAAGCAAAAAACAACAAAAACAAAATATAACAAAAAAAACTGTAAAATGTTCAATTATATTTTTATTTTTAATCTGAAAATTCTGCCTCAATTTTTTCAAACTTCTTTTAAAGGTCATTTTTTTCTTATATTTTAACAGTAGATTTTCCTTTTGCTTTCTTTCTTCTTCTTTTTTTTTTTCACCTTTGTTATAGTAGAACCCAGGATGTTCAAGTATTAATAGGTTTAGTAATATTTGCATTTAATGCTTCCTGGTTCTGTCTAATTCCTCTCAATCTCCCTCTTACTTATAATCGCTCAATTTTTCTTCCATTTTGTTCACCCTGTTAAGCTAACAGACGAAAAAAAAACCTCCAGTTCCAATTTAGCTGATCTTTGTGACAATACTGTCGTGACCAGAACCAGTATGTAGTAGCAAAAAGAAAAAAAAAAA